AGCACCAGCCAGACCCCCACACCCCTCTAACCCCACCTCCCCCACCACCACCCCCCTATGGCGAATGGGTCACACCACCCTATCCCCTCTTCTCCACACCACCCCCCTATTGCCAACGGAGTCCCAACACCCATCATACAGGTGAGTCAAATTGGGTTATTATCAAATTGGTCTTACTGTTTACTTATGGTTGGTGATAACTTAATTATTTGTTTGTTTGTTTGTTTGTTGAGCCTATGTTTATGCATGAAATACTCAAATCAGCCACTTTTCGTGGCTGCTTTTCATTGTGATCATGAGGGACTTCAGGGTCAGTGAAATATAACAACTTGAAGATAGCATTGCAGGTCACATGATCAAGTCCTACTAAATCCACAAACACATAGTCCTACAAAGTTTGGTTTCTTGTGTATCTTGTTACCTGGTCTAACCTTCATGGACATAAAAGAAAAGAGTCACTATTAGATTTCCAAAATCTATCCAGTTGCTTGTGTAACTATCTTCTGAATGAGCTTCTTTTCTTTTGTTTTCAAATTGCAAAAAAGATGTCACACAGAAAGATTTGTAACTTAAGTGATATAATAAGTAGTGTACAGTAACTGTTATATCTTTAATATTCATCTTTTGTGTGTTATCTGTACAGGGCACCCCCCACTTGCAGCGGCCAACCACATTACAGAGAAGTCCCCACCCGCAGAACAGGACACCGAACCACGGGTACAGAACTATTCTCAATGTATGAGCCGCACAACGTACATTGAACATCCAGATACATGTACAATGTATAAAACCATTCTCAATGTATGAACCTTAACTAAGGACATATGCTTGTAAAAATGAACACGTAAAGTGTACAAACCTCACAGCTCATGGCTCAAAACACCCGACCCCAAATACAGAACCAAGGATTTGCTTATACTTCATTGATCTGTGAGCCAAAATGAAAATTTGTTCCTGGTTGGTCAGTCAAAAAAAAAGACCCTATAATCCAGATGGCCAGCAAAATGGTGATTCAATCTTGTCTGTGATTGGTCTCCAGAAAAAATCTTTGTCCTGATTGGTCAAATGCATTCACATCCTAATCTCTGATTGGACAGCTGACAAATATAATTATTTCCGAGTACTGAAGAATCCTCTTTGTAAGAGGAGATCTCCCTGCTAAGAATGTTCTTACTCTCAAGAGTTGACTGTTTGTAAATATATGCTGTATATGTTTTTGAATAAGGATAAAACCAAGAACTATCTGATTGTGTACATAAAGTAAGTAAATTGTGTGGCCAGAAATCTCTGCCAATATGTTGATAAAAATGTAAATGTAAAAGTGTTTCTCATGTGCCAAATGTGGCAAATTGTGTAACTGTCTCTTGACTTTAGAGATTTTAACTTGCTAAAAACTTTTCTACTAGATCGTAGAAATGGTAGTAAGCCATTGGTAGGTTTAAGACGTTGTGAGATAATGTTGAATAGTAAAGGAAAAAAGTAGAAATAGGTGTAGGTGTATACTTAAGACAAAAGAAATACAAGCATTAGAAAGGTAACATTTTTCAAAGCAGATGCATAATGTTAAACCTCAGGTGGTCTAGCCTAACAAACTAGTGCTCTGTTTATTCTTACTCAAACACATTCATGTGTATGGTAACCAGTCCCTCCAACTCTGTCCTGCCACTTGCTACATAATGTAACCCGATACCACAGGGTGTCTGCTACAGCACCAGTGTTTTTGGAGAAGATACTTAGCAAAAAGGATGTGTTTTCCTTCTGCGAAGGTTAACGTAATAATACAGATATCATGTGGTCTGAAGCAACCTCAGAGTTGTTATATAGATTACACTGTACACATGTTCATCTATTAATAGTAAGTAGGACTGGTAAAATAGAAGTACAGGTTGTCTGTTGACATACAGACTTTGTGAATATATTTGTAAGTTTCTTGTAGAAACTTAATTATGAGTATTGTGAAGAAAATGTGTGGCCACACCAATTTATTGTTTTTCAGATTCAGAAGACAATTTTAAGATTACTTAATCATGAAAACAAAACATGAGTGTATTCACTCCTTGAAATTGGGTGTACCAAAGTAGAAAGTTTTCCTCCCAGCCCTCTGTTTTGATGTAGCTATGTATTATATTTTCTGTTAAGATGTTCCAAAACCGAGAAAATATGGTGTGGCCTTCTCACAAGTTAGTGGGTGAATATGGTGTTTGTAATCTGCAATTCTTTTACATCTGATGTTGTCAGAATCTCTGCAATGCCGTGCTTGTACATATATGCAGCTGTGACGAAGCCAACTTCACGTAATAATTGTGTGTGTTAATTAATATACAGAAAGATGTGGTAGTCTAGAAACTTGAGAAGTTATGAAATATCTAATGTTAACGGATGTAAGGTTTGTATTGATATAAGTGAGGGTAAAAACCTAATGTACATAATATGAGCATGTTATGTGTGTACAGAGGTAATTAAGAATTTGTTTGTACATATTATTCTTAGGATATTTTTTGTCAGATTTTTTGTGGCAGTAGCATTTAAATGCCAGAATGAAATTCAGTAGCTGTGTTCTCTTTCGTCCTCTCTTCTTGCCTATATCTAACTTATTGAATAAAGAATACTTTTCCATGATCTCTGCCTGTTTCTTTGTGTTATTTACTGAGTGTGTGATTTCAGACTTCTGGGATTCAAAGTGTTTTGGGCTTTTGGGCCCTTTTCCCACTTGGATAGAATTGTTCAGTGTTTCAATCTGGACAATTCTATCCAAGTTGGAAAAGGGCCTTTGAGTGTATTGGTACTGTGTATGATATGATTGGTATTGCACCACTCCCTGAATTCCTCCACATACTACTACGCACTTCCACCCAGCACCTTCAAGCTTGCACGTCCCATCAACTGTCCAAATCCCCTCCTACCCTCCATATCCCCTCCCAACCCCCATATCCCCTTAAACTGTCCAAATCACCTACCACCCTCCATACCCCCCCCACCCCCACCCCAACTGTCCTAGAAGCACAAAAGTCAGCCACCCCAAAATCAAGAAGTACCCAAAAGTTACACACGAATTGACAAAGCCACAGTTCGGATAGAAAACTTTATTCTCCATTTATAAGTGTACAATTCTGTACAGAACAGAGGAATCATGATTCCTCACGAGAAGTCAGCAAAACATGCACGCTCTTTTATAAATTACATCTTTTTTTTTAATCATTACATTTACATTGATGTTCCATCAAAAATATATCGACGATTCTTTGGCCACAAGGCTTAAGTTTGAAAAGTACACAGCGAGAAGTTTAAGTTCCACAATACTTGGCTAAATACGTTACTTAGGCCACACCAATTTAATTTGTTGGTTCTCGGATTCGCCTCTTGGTTTTCTGATTGGCAAAGAAACAACAAGTGAGAAAAGTCATTTTCCTCCTAGTTGTTACAGTTTTTCTATCTGTCAATGCAGTAAGTTCAAAATTCATTGTTTAAATATTATCCAGCCTTTTGTGTAGACTTCATGGCTCCTATTGTAGCATTTGGGGCTATAATAGGATGCCTAGACCTGCTTTTATTTTTTTCTGAAAATATCTGAGAACCAACAAATTAAATTGGTGTGGCCTAAATACGTTACTGACATACAAGCGAAGCTACGGGCACATTTTTTAATGCCCTACAGGGAAAATTATGCGTGTCAAATCATTAAACCAAAGTAGTGACCAAAATAAATAGTGCGCAAAAACAATATATACAGTAGACAAGACTTCACAATAAATAATAAGGCTATCACCTAGCATCAAAACGGAATAGAAATCTTTACTTTTTCGGAAAGAAATATTGAGAGCAAACTTGCCACTGATAAAACACTTGGATTAGCTTCATTTTACACAGCCATATAATCTCCAGAAATATTTCCTCAAGTGCATAAGTAGTTTTTAGTTAAGCACCTTTTTTTCAATTTACATCATTTAAACTGTCTATCTCTGTTCATTACACTGAATATGAACTCAAAAATTCTGCTGTTGGAAAATATATTCAGTGGACTGTATGTGTGTTAACAACATATTTCTCTCCTTACTATCTACAGATTTCATAAACGTTCTTTGCATTTACAGAGAATACAGTACATTGTGGCACTCCTGACTAGTACTTCATTTTGATATAATTTTAATTAGTCACCATGGAAACAGGCTAATTAGGATGCTGTTTCCTAATAAGGTGGTCAGTAATAAACCATTTTTGTGATGTTTCTATAATTAATGCCAATTAGAGCAAAATAATTAACAAAAATGTTGTTAGGAAATTGCAGCGCCAGATGTTGTCATGGTTTTCCGTACAACTGCCGATGTGTTAAATTTTCGGCAGGCAGCCCTTCAAATTTCATCTTTCTCACATAAATGCAACTCTGATGAACATATTTACATATTAGGGACATAATCTAGTTACCATAGTAATAATTGATTGACATGTGCAATTATAATCTTTAATTAAGCAGCTTATCTTAAAACAAACGACTAAAAAACACAACAACAGCACAAATTCACCAGAATTCCTAAACAAACTAAACCGAACTGCTGTATACTTGTGACGGCACACGTGATTGGCTACAACACTTAACTGTATTTCAAAATCAACCAATCGTGAGACACAGTGCAGAGTATGTGCAGTGAATACTTATCAAGGCTGTATAGTGAATGTACAAAATGTCTCTTTCTCTACTCGGAGCTGTTGCCGACAGCTCTAGTCACAAAACTACCTTCCTCAAATCCACGGAGAATTTAACACGTCCTACATCTGAGTTGTGTGTGGTGAGAAAGAGAATCTTTCCACGCACACACAGATACACAAACTCAAGAGTCAAATGTTTGCATCAGTTAGTCATACATAGTTGTATTCCTCATTTCTTGCTGTCATGGTGCCCTTCTCTTGCACTTTAACTGCATTTTTCTTCTTTCCCCTTCAATAGTACGTTAAATTTTGTATCTTTCCAGCGTTCCCCCGTCCGAAATTGCAACATTTTAAGTAGCAGCATCGTTGCATCATCGGTTACCCAGCATGCCTCAGCCTTCCCACGATGCACTGCATCCCGGGAGCAGCGGAGTCCCGCCACCACCTTCCCATCATGCTTTGCGTCACGAGGCCCGCTAGGCCACTTCATGGTCCCAAGATTCTTTGTGCGTGAACGGCACTTTTTAAGGTCGAGGGGTGACCTTGACCCCTGACCTTCGACCCTGCCACTGTGTCAAACAATGGGCAAAGGATCCTGGGAACGTGAACTGGTCTATACGGGCAATGCGTGAGCCATGTGTCTGGCGTTGTGGTGGGGGTGGGGGTGTAGGTTGGGGGTGCCGTGCAGGCTGCCCCCCACCCCTGGGGAGTGGATGTGGGGGAGGGGCTGGCCGTTAGGGATGGGGGAGGGGGTGCGCAGGCTGGCAGCCGACGGGCTGGCCTGGGCTCGCAGTAGCTGCACGCTGTTCATGATCTTCTTCTGGTGCCCGATCATCGTCACGCCAATGCCTGGGGAAACACAAACATGGTACATTAACTCACGGTATAGTTAACACATACATCATACAATACATCAACTTTGAAGATCAAGCAATTAAAGGAAAACCAACTATTCTAAATTAGTGTAGTTAGTATTTTTATTGACGTCAGAGAAGTAATTGTCTCAGAAATGTATTAGATAATGACAAAGTCAAAGCCCAACTTGGGAATTTTTCAGACAAGGAGACACAATTTCACTAATTGTCTCTTTATACATGTATGTTGAAACAAACAGTAAATCTGAACTGGAAAGATGAAGAGAAACTATCCATTGCTTAAACTTGATGGAGCGCTCTGTGACTGTTTCATGCATCAGAAGATCTTGGAGCTCTTAAGTCAAAGTTATATGTTGAAAATAAAGTGAAAGTTAGAAAACTCACTCTGCAGCTCCCTGAGTGTGATCTTGGCGACACAGTCCAGGTTGGTGAAGCCGGCCTTCAGGAAGTTTTCTGTGTACCTGCCGAGCGACAGGCTGTCCAACCACTCAGGCACGGAGCTGTACAGGTCTGACGACGTCGACTGGTGGTGCATCGGCCTAAACAAACAAACAAACAAACAAACAAACATTAACCACTTGTCCATGAGAAAATGTACTAATTTTTTTGGTCACACCTATAATATTTCAATGACTGAACATTGTTCAATTTGTACAATTATCTTATTGTAATCATTCTATAAAATCGATGGGGTTTAAGACCAGTTTGGGACCCATTTGAGGGTACACTGTGCAGCAGTGCTACCTGCCAGATTTGTTCAGAACTGCATGAACCATTCCCTGTCAGTTTCACTTTTGAATTCAAAGCAACTACATTACAGATTGACTATTCCATTTTGCCCTAATCTGTACATACAAAACTACTATGTTTAAGAAGAATCTACTGTTACGCAGTAATTATACAATGCCACTGGGCATACATATTAGACAACACAATTACATTAGAGTCAATGCACCAGAACCCTTTAACACCAGGCTCAGCTATCAACACCATACAATGCTGCCATGCAAGCTGCTTTTGCCATTCCCACACCTTACCGCAATCAAAAATTTGTCCGTTTTTCCCCATTAAGCTGTTAAACCATTGGCATGCCGACTTGACTTTATGCAACGCAAGCCTGAAGACATTAAGCTTCGCTTTTTTGCATGGTTAATTGCAAACTTAAAAGTCAGTCTTGGCATGCGAACAGTTTAACTCACCAAAGTCCGCCCGAGGAAGGACCCGGTAGATTGTTGTCACAGCTACGTCTACAAGCAAATAAAAAAGCGCAACATACTCAGGCAAGTACCTTGGCTGGGCCAGCACCCTCAGCACCATGGGGTTGCGGATCAGCTTGTCCAGACTCGCTACGATAGCCGTGAACTTCGGCCGAGCGTTCCGCTCCTTCTGCCAGCAGTCAGACATCAGCTGGTAGATCGCTTTAGGGCAATCCTGGGGAAACGGAAAAAGAGGGGTTAAAAATTATTGTATCTAGAACTGTCCTTGTCTAGTTCTAGGCTTGAATGGGTTAGGATTAGGGGACAGCCGGTAGATTGCTTTCGGACAACCCTTGTTAAAACAAGTTTTAAAAAGGGTTAAAAACTCCCCTTAAAAATCATCCTTTGTTTTCCTTTGTGATTAGGCTTTTCTTTTCAAAATTTCCGGAAGTTTCTCAACTATTTTTCTGACTTTTGCCTGGGAGTTTTCTTGTTGTTCTAGACAATTCTTGTATTCTTTGCCATGAATGTTATGAAATATTTACCGAAATGAAGTTTTTCTTACCATAGGCGGCGGTAGCCTGTACCCAGCTTCCACAGATTTGATCACCTACAGAATAAGGTAAATAAAGTCAATCAGTTTGAGGAGAAATGTGTGCATTAATCAGAAATAAACAAAGCAAATGACAAATGTAGTTTTGTTTTTACAAATTTTTAGATAAAAACCTACGTCTTGGTTGGACCAGTTCCAATATGGCCGCTCCCCGTATGACATCACTTCCCACACCAAGACCCCATAGCTCCACACGTCGCTGGCTGATGTGAACTTCCTGTATGCGATCGCCTCCGGAGCTGTCCACCTCACGGGGATCTTTCCTCCCTGTAAGGACGGGTAGAAAATAAATTATTTTACTACTTTCAGCTAATTTGAAATTTATGTTTTACAAAAACATTATTCACAAGACTAGTTTTCTGTGGCCTACTGTCTTCAAACTTAACATGTACCCTGGTAACATGAAAATTAAAGCAAATGCATAATGTTTACTTTCAAAAAAATTTCTTATGTATGGATTGGTGACCAGCCCTCAAACTCTGTCCTGCCACTTGCTACATAATCTAACCCAATACCACAGGGTGTCTGCTACAGCACCACTTACCATAGTAACAACCATCTGTTCCTGGTAATTGTTTGGAGAGGAAGAAACAGAGAAAAAGTACTAGTATCCTTCCAGAATGTTTTCCCTCTACAAAACATACTGGAACCTTCTACGAAGATAACATAGAAGAGTGAGAGAAGTGCCATGTCTTACCCTGGTAGTGTAAGCTGCGTCTGGGTCGTCTTCCAGCACCCTGGACAGCCCAAAGTCCGACACCTTACACACCAGGCTGCTGTTCACCAGCACGTTACGCGCAGCCAGGTCCTACAAGGACAACAGAAATGGAGAAAAACTCTCAACTGCTGATCTTGCAATGGTCATAACATTTTTATTGTAAGTTCTTGCCTGAGGGCTAATTGCAAGTACATATAACAAGGGATGACAAAGGATTATAATTATACATTATATAACATTTACTAATTTACTAATAGAATATTATGCTAATAAAATTTTTTACTTATTGGGTTAGACTTCTTTTTCTGAGACAGTAGAAGACAAGAGATTTTTTCTGTACATTTGTGATATTGGGAGGAGTACAGCCATGTGCCACTAGACCAAACACAACACTACAGTTAACCAATGCACTGAGGGTGGGAAAATGTCCATCACTCTGTGAGGAAAGTTTAGTTCTGGGTTGGTTCCAAGAGGATTAAATGTTTAGAACTTCCTGCCGAGGACAATCGATAAGCCTTTATTATTGCACCATGTAGGTGCAGGAAGGTGCAACAGAGCTGCCAGTTACAGAGGTTGTTCCTGGGATTTGGGTAGTGTGGGACCAAGAATGAACTAAGAAAATGGCTTCAGCCTCCACAAATATTGACATTCTGTCAAGGCAAAAAAACCTTACATGCAACAAAATAGTTGAGAGAACGAGAAAGATTTTATTGCATGTCATTTGCTGTCTATTTAAGGTACCTAAATAAAGGTAAACCTTTGGATAGCATTTCAGCACTAAGGACAGGTAACATTTTTTTTAAATCAGATTTTGGAGGTACTTAGATCAAAGTATGTTTGTTTGGACCTTTGCTTGTTCATTTGAAGCTCAAATTGTAGGTAAACATAAAACTTTGGATGGCATTTCAGCACTAAGGACAGGTAGTATCACCAAAAATGTTATTGTTTTTTAAAATCGTATTTAAGTAACTTTGCTTGCTTGTGGTTAAGATACTGGAGTGTTCCAGTTACCCTGTGTACATAGGAAAGTGTTTCAGCACTAAGAACAGGTGATATTACCCAAAATCATATCTTTAATACCGTGATTTGGGGTTAAGACAATGGACCGTTCCACTTACCCTGTGTACATAGGAAAGTGTTTCAGCACTAAGGACAGGTGATATCACCCAAAATCATATCTTTAATACCGTGATTTGGGGTTAAGACAATGGACCGTTCCACTTACCCTGTGTACGTAGTTCATCTCTGCCAGGTACCTCATGCCTGAAGCCACACCCCTGATCATCCCCACCAGCTGGGGCACTTGGAATCTTCCATCGTGTTTCTATAGCAACAACAAACAAACAAACACATGGTAAGTTTGGAGTGGCAAACAGGTCCCAATAAGGTTGAACCAATTCAAGGCTGTAAACATAAAAATCATTGCAAATATTTGAAGACTTACAGTAACCAAAATGCACGAAACATTTAAGAATCAAACAAAAATCAACACTACAGACACTAGTGGCATAGTCTAAACCTAACTTAAGCATCCCATTTGGATTGGTACAACTTGTCATTTATCAAAGTGACATGTCTGGTCTAGGTTCCAATACATACAAACACAGGCAATAAATCATATCCACACAACAACACTCCATTACTGGATCTCTATGCGTGAACACAAGACACTCTAAATCCCATCCCAACAGTCTGACATCCCTTTTAGACTGCGTCTCTCTAGTAGGGTGGTTTCTAAGAAACCTTGCTGCTGACAATTTGACAAGTATGTCTAACAGATAAACGTACGACTAAGCTGTAAGTATCCAGCCATCCTCGCAAAGTGACCTCGCGTAACCCCGCCCTACCGTATTGATCCTTTTCTCGCTCATTAGCGCGTCCCTTGTGTCGTTCCGCTTTCGTACGCGACACGACAAAACCCAATACCAATCATCGGAGCTGCAATGCTGGGGAAAAATGTCTGATCCCTCGAACCTTTGTCCCTTCTGACTCTATACATGAAGTAACGCATCAGAACTTCAGTTGGATCAGCTCTCAACGGAAGGAGTTTTCCATCTAAGGTGACTGTCCTTGTAATATATATTTCTTTAATCTTTTCACTGGTCTTATCATATGATCAAAATACATATTTCAGTGTGAAGGAAGAGCTGAGTTAAAAGGTCCTTTTCTATAAGTTTTCAGATGGAATACAGAGTACTTCTTTTATTTACAAAGATCACCTGTCTTGTTCAAGTGTTTGATATCTTTACCATTAGAAATTAGGCCAATCTTACAGAGTTTACTAGCTGTATTATCTAATTTTAGATTAATTTTCAAGGCAGAACAACTTCATTCCATCAGTTATATGCCTGTTTCAGTTATATACTGCCACAGGTCCTATTTTAAAAGATAAAGCATGCCTACTTCATAACAACAACTCCTAAGCACAAAATCCATTTGAAAGTTTTAGAAAGACTGAATCACTATTGATGTCAATGACCTGACAAGGTCACCCCCCTCCCCCTTAGAACACAGTGTTCTGTAAGACTATCCCTGTCAGCCATGACCTGAAGTTTGCATTGGGACATGGTACTCAGTGTAAGTACAAAATCTTAAGCACAAAATCCACTGGAAAGTTTTTAGAAAGACTGAATCAATATAGATGTCATTGACCTAACAAGGTCGCCCTCCTTAGATATAGTATTCCGTAAGACTATCCCTGTCAGCCATGACCTGACGTTCACGTTGGGACATGGTACTCATGTGTAAGCACAAGTACAAAATCCTAAGCACAAAATCCATTTGAAAGTTTTTAGAAAGACTGAAACAGCATTGATGTCATTGACCTAACAAGGTGGCCCCCCTCCCCCCTTAGAAGCAGTGTTCTGTAAGACTATCCCTGTCAGCCATGACCTGAAGTTCACGTTGGGACATGGTACTCAGCGTAATCCCCTCATTACGGCACTGTCCACTGATCCAGGCATATCCCTGCACTTATCTATTCCTGCACTTAAGTAGGGAACAGTTTCTCCACCCGTCTCACGAGTCTTGCCCTGATTGTTCACATCAAGGCGTCTGAGTGCCTTTCTTAAGACAACTCATCACTCACACGCCTTCAGACGGTCAGCCGGGACGTCTTGGGGAGCGTCCCTTGGTTACTTTAAGACTCGGTTTCTTGGAAGAAAGGATAATGTGCTTTGTCTCAACAACGGTTGGCTCTTATCAGAGACTTAAACTTTTGTGGGAAACGAAAGTCGACAACTAACAAAGTTACTTTGAACTGAAAAAACTGCCAACAGTATTACACAGTATTACACAGTAACACTGTAATGTTTTTTTTTTGACCAATATCATGAATATATAGACTTCCTGTCTCCTACAATATGATTTTGCGTGCTGAATAAACAAATATAATAAATGGTGAGCTTCTATAGACAATATCTTATCTCTAACAATGAAGGAAAAAAATGGAATTCCAAGAAATGATAAGTAACTGTTTGTCGACCGATAAGATGCCTAATAGGGTATGGAACAAGGTGGCAAAACTTTCTAAAAATACTGGACATCCTTGGGAAGTTAGTTTGTATATGACAGTCTAGAGTCTAGACTCTGTGCACAGTTACTCTGGAACATGCACTCTAACATACATGCACACAGCCTTGCCAAACTACATTACTGAGTAATTTGATTGCCCTCCCTGGTCGCCACGCTTTTTACATGGGGGTGAATCGGGCCTCAGAGGAGACCGAATTTCTTCTGCAAAAAGGCTTATTATTGATTCCATTTCCATCTGTCTGTGTGCCGCTAACAGTGAACACATCCGTGCTGATTTTGTTAGGTCCTCGGTCCAAAACCACTTCCCTCGGATTAACACCGGAGAAGCGGGCGAGCTCAGGCGATGATTGCCGATCGACCAAAACGCCGTAATCCCAATTATGCTGAAATTCCGCTTTACAACGTCGAGATAAGCGGAGGAAGCGAAGGAACATCCAGACTTAACGCGATTTGTATGGAATGAAATCATCCTTAGCGTTTTACGACGCTGTAAATTTGCCGACAAATCCATTTCATCTGCTGGATTACATGCAGGATGGCCTGGCTTCCGGCCGTGCAAACTCTGCCACACACCAACAATCAAATGTGACAAACTTTGCAACGACTTTAGGCCGAAACAAAATCATTTACAATTACAAGTACATTTTTCCAAACTTTAGGAGAAAACTTAAATCTGACTTTATCCACTCCCCAAAGCTCTGTGCACAAGGCCCAGTCTTCTGTAAAATACAAAAGATGCTACCTGCAAACATCTAACTATTTAGAAAACTTGTCCAGTTGCTTGCCAATGGTCTATTTTGTACATAATGACTGCTAGTAGGTAGTTTTCAAGCTGTGAGCACCAAGCTATAGACTTCTATGAAAGACAACGGATGCTACTAGTATCTGATACATTTGAGTCTTCAGGAAACTTGTCTAGTTGCTTGATTGACATTCTGTATTACTGTATGTAATGACTGAGAAGTTTTTCGTCTGAAAAGTTCAGCACCACTGGGGGAGCCAACATCTTCAAGTGTGATTATTCCTACATCTCATATCAATCCCTTCAATCAGATCTGATCACGAGACAGCGGAAACCGGCGGTAAAGTTACAACGCCACACAGTCCGGCCGGACAGACGTCCGAACAAGATTGGGCGCCATCGCTACAGCCATTTCACCCACACAGACTTCCTGTTTTTGTCCCGTTACTGGCTTTAAAACTGCCATCAATACGCAGGCAGATTCTCTAAACTTTTTTCTTCAATCTGCAATTTGTAGGTCCAGTTCCCCATGGGCTGATTGTGATGTGTATCTGATGGTACAAGACTGCCGGTACATTGGACATGACGTTTTTATAAGCCAGCTCTGATTGCTTCATTTATGGGGCCCCGAGTGATTGGACGGTCGTTTGAGTTTCGTGTCTGTCAATCTGCGAGAGTCAATACAGAAGGCAGGTCCGGTCTCCTGACGTCGGGCCGGGCCAATTCAATTTTCCTGTTCTCGGATTTTTTATTTGCAATAACACTGCACTAGCTCAACATGAAAAGCTTTGGGGGCAGTCGGTAAATGAGGGAGTGGATTCAAGTTTTTCTTCTAGACTTCTGTTTTCAGATTGTCCTCTTGTTTAAAAACCTTGTACTGTTGAAAAATCAAGAAAAGACACTGGAGTGGATTTACAACAAAATATGTCCGCTATATGTATTACCAACCCTTCCAATGAGGCAGTAGTAGTGTTAACCTTCTCCCTGCTGCCCAACTCCATAACCAATACCGATTCGGTGCTAACCGGGTACCTTAGCAGACTGAGAGTTAAGAGTACCTACCCTTAGGAAGGTATCCAGCGATCCGTTCTCCATGTACTCTGTCACTATCATCACTGGACGACCTGATGGCAGAAAAGGATCGGGTTACATTCAGAAAAGTATCAGGTCACATTAAAGCGTAACAGGCTACCCAAGGACACACTAGGCTGAAAAAAGTTCTCAACATTTTGATTTTTTCATGAAAAAAGGATCTTAGCAAAAAATTATCTTTCTTTTTTATATGAAAAGGCAACCTATAATGGCAGAAGAGTATCGGTTTACATTCAAACAAGCAAACTGAAGGACACACTAGGCTAAAAAAGTTCTTAACATATTAATTTTTCCCCCAAAAAATGGGTTTTACGAAAAAATATCTTTCCTACATGACATGACGAGGTGACCTAATGGCAGAAGAGTATCAGGTTACAGGAAGATGATGCGACATTCAACTCTGAACGACCTCCGGCCCGAAATCTCGGCAAATGGCCCGTCCGTTCAGAAGACTTATAACGCAGGATTGCCGTAACAGCTAAAACCGTCATTAACGGTACTTTCCCTTTCATTAGTCACTCTCCTTTCTTCTGGGGTTTAATCTGCTGATGGAGCTAAGAGGCCATCAAGGGTCCATCAATAACAGTTGCCACGGAAACCCGGCGACGTGCGAAATGTCGGCAGGGACGATTCGTCAGGAAATACAGCATTAAGAGTTGCCACTTTTCAACAGACAATTTCTGTTCATGGACGTCAGTTTGTACGTGTGCCTCGTGCCTGGCATTAAGTCCAAGGTAGTTTGCTACTAGTGCAACAAGCTACTTATGGTGATCAAACGTGTTTCTCACTCCTTCAACATCTGTAAAGGTAAGGTAAAGGTAGTCTCATAGCCTTTTTTTTAGGCTGTAAGGGCAATGGGTTGTTGATCATTGTGTCAAAGGCAGGGTACCTCACCAACCAAAGTCAGGTACACATTTTATAACTGGGTGGAGCAAGGAAAGTTGTGTTAAGTATTTTTTCCAAGGGGAACAGACTATGTGTGACATTACAGGTTCAAACCAAGGACCTTTGGGTTATAATTCATGTGGTGAATTATAATACACACAAAAGAAGTAACTCACTCTTGGTGATGACCCCCTGCAGCTTGATGACGTTAGGGTCGGTGAACTGTCCCATGATCGACGCCTCTGTCAGGAAGTCTCCCTTCATCTTGTCGTTGGATCCCGCCTTCAGTGTCTTGATCGCCACGTCCAGGTACTGTCCCTTCCCCATCTTCAGCCGACCCTTACACACGTCTCCAAACTCACCTGAAGGAACAAGACAGTTAAGAAGTTTCAAAATAAGGCCTTCTACGATTCTTGTAAGAGAACTAGAAAGCAACAGATGCAAACTAAATGCATAATGTTTACCTTTACATGGTCTAGCCTAACAAACTACAGTACCGTTCGCGTTATAGTTAACCGGGTACCCCGTTACTAACGAGTTATTTTTTCGTCAGAAAATGGTTAGAAAATCGTCAGTATTTGGTTAGATTTTCGTCAGAAAATGGTTAGAAAATCGTCAGAAATTATTTCTAACGCGTTACCGTTTGCGTTAATGTGATAGGGTCGGATTTCATGTTTGTTTTGCGCGCCGACAAGACAATAGCAATTTGCCACCTCCTGGGGCGTCCGCTAATGTGTTGCGATGTTGCCCCTTGAAAAATAACAGCACCAGAGGCAAGTGGACATGTGATTCGTAAAATAACTTTGTGGTTTATCCATGTGTCGACTGTGTGAAGCGAATTGTGCTATCTTTTAATGCTATTCTATAGTTATTTCTAGCGGAAAATTACGTTGTGTAATACAATGTATGTCAACAAAGTGTAGCAGTGGGCAGACGATGTCTTGTACATTTTGTACCAGCGGCGGCCTACCGCTCTCACAGGACGTCATGGGACGTGACGAAACAAGAAATATCTGCCGTAGAAGAAATATAAATCGTTAACTCATGCCTTAAATTCACGGCGGTTTTTGACTCAAAAGAAAAATTATTATAATTTTTGTAAGGAGCGCGGCTTACTAGTACTAGCGGCTTTAATACTCACGGTAAAATGTACCGTCACTCCCGGCGCAAGGACTCGGTTCGCCAGCTGAGGACTTTCCACAACCATGATGATATCATAGTTAATAAAGGAATATATAATAGATCTATCATGTTGAAATGATAATTGTAATACATGGTTCTATTTAATAGCGGTAGTTTTGTTTCTTATTTTGAGGGGGGAAACTGTCAAAAATCGAGGGAACGCAAACTGAGATCGGCTCACTTCCGGGTGCATAACGCCAAAATTTCTCGACGATTATATAAAAATGACCACTCATTTGCCGCCTACGGTAGCGTGTACATGGTAGTGCGATCATATCGTGCCAAAGTCAGCGTCAAACGTCAGAAAATCTCCGTAAAAATATAGTTGCAAAACACATTTCCCGCGCACTCAGGGCCGGTCGCCCTGGCCGCTGCCTCCCTGTGTGCAGCATGCTCATTATAATATGCAAGTAGCTACGCTCTGATTGGTTCACCTTAGATGACCTGCGCTGTGATTGGCTAGAACGAAGCCCGTTGCATGCTGGGGCGCCCTTCCCCGCGCGAAATGATCTCGAGAGAGCCACATTTACGCTGGTTTCTACCTTATTTCTTACGACTAATTAGCAACATCCTAGTGACGAAATGCGTACTCAAAGAATTTTCGGGAAAAAAATATATGTACATGTGGATTTGTGGTGCCTTTGGCGTAATTTTGTTGGTCACATACAACGTAATGTAACACGGAAGTGCATGGAGTCGGAGTGGCGGCACGGCTTCCGTCCCACTCTAAACAAAACTCCAAGGACATAACAAAACTCCCCAAAACTGGTCAATAATTAGCCATAAAAATGTTGGTGGGCACGTGTAAATATGCTGCCTTTTTTCGAGTGTCATAGGAGTTTTCCACGATGTTTTTGCACATCCCTAACGTTACCTCACGCCCGCCGCCCATTATGTACGGCGGACCGGGGCATTTATAACTTCAGATCATCTACTGTAGGTTTGCTTGTTCGGTGGTAAAATAAGTTAACAGAGAAAACAGCAAAACAAAGTTGACAAACTATAGAAACGCTTGCCTGGGCAACAGTGACAAAAGAAAATGTCTATCAAATTGAATTGCGCCGGTGATCGTAAAACGTTTTAAACGTTACAATATAGTAAAATGCAGGCTAGATCAACGTTCCTTCCGCTGTTCCAGCGGTGTGTATCGGTAATTTCCCGCCCCGCATGAGGTAAATTAGTACTCCTCCCATTATTCTGTGATGTTACCGCGGCCTGCATATGAATGCAGAAGTCTAACGGAAAAGTAACGGAAAAGTAACGGAAAACTTACGCAAAAGTTACGGAAAACTTACGGAAAAGTAACGGAAAAGTAACGGAAAAAAAACGCGTTAGTAACGGCCGTTAGGGTAACTATAACGCGAACGGTACTGTATTGCTCTGTTTATTCTTACTCAAAAAAATTCAAATAAATGGTGACCAGCCCCTCCAACTCTGTCCTGCAACTTGCTACATAATGTAATCCAAAGCCACAGGATGTCTGCTACAGTTACCATGGTGACAGTCATCTTGGTAAGGTCATTGACTTTGTTTGAAGAAAAAGAGCAAAGACAATATACCTTCTGCAAAGGTAAACATAAAAATCAGTGTAATGTTCTGTGACCAGCCCCTCAAAATTCTGTGCTGCCACTTGCTACATAATGTAACCCAACACCACAGGTTCTGTCTTACCTCCCCCGATGACCTGTTCGATGGTGAGACAGGACGGCTCCAGTTCCTTGGCGAACTCCAGCACAGCGTGTTGCGGGTCCTCGTAGGTGTGAGGGTCGATGTAGGTCTTCACACGCGGCGCCACAAAACCTGGCAGGCGAACTGGGAGAAAAAACAAACTTTTAGTCATTTTCTTCCTTATGAAAAGAGAATCAGAGATTTCAGACTTCCTAACAAATCTTACCTCACTATGAAACATTAAAAAGTCATTGGTAGATAAAGTAACTAAATAATTATAACATAATCTATCTTTATAAATTGGCAAAAAATTAAATCGGTATGATTGGTTACCTTCTCCATTTGAGTACTCCAGTTTGTCCATGTCACTTGGCGGCTTCCTGTTTCTTCTACAAAAAAAGGAAGAAGAAAAAACAATTAAAAATCAGGCCCATTTATTTGGAATTGGGATACAACAGCCGGGATTGTCGGAATGGAGAATCACATGAGAGCACAAAAGAGAAGAGAATTCTGATCTCCAAGCAGATATTTGGTTTGGACTCTTCATTCACTGATCTCAGACATTTTTCTGTCATTTTATAGTAAATAATACTTCATCTAGGCACCCAGCAATCAATAGATCCAACAAGCAATAAAGATTGTCACAAGAAAGAAAAAAAAAGGCAAACCAGACATCTGCTTGGAGACTTAAGAATTTGGGTTAAGGGACAGTGTGTGAGAGGACAGGATACTCTCCAAGCAGAGGTTTGGGTTTTGGTTAATTTTTGGCATGTTTTTAGACTTTTTTATCCGGGTTTCTTTTTTGCACTGGAATTTTGCTTACGTTAGGTGAAAGAAAAATTCCAATTCCAGTGCAAAAAAGAAACCCTCATCTAAAAACACTCCAAAAATAACCCAAAACCCAAACCTCTGCTTGGAGAGAGAGGACGGGACAGACACGTGACGGCACTAGTACGGACACGTACTGTTGCGGTGCTACTTACATACTACAATTATCCTGGAGTCGTCTCAATGGGGAAAAGAAACAGAAGACAGTGTGCTTGTCAATGGAGCATCGGTCATGGGAGGGACATTGGTACAGGTACATGTATGTACATGTAATCTCCAAGCAGATCTTTCGGTGGCTACAAAAGACTGTATCAAATTGATCACCAGGCAGTATCCATTAGCCAGTGTCCATTGGCCAATTCGGATACTGCTTTGGCACCGTATGATCTGCTTGGAGATTAACATGTATGGGTTAAAGCTATCTACTGACGACATATAGATAGCAGATAGTTAATACTGGTACTTTTGACTTTGGAAAGACACTGGAAGGTAGGGTAATCAATTCAACTTTAAGCTTTGTCTTTTAACTTGTTGCTGAATGCACAGCACAGTATAAAATATCACAGACTTGACTTCAAGTTGAATAGATTTTATAACTTCCCAACATCTTTTCAAACTCTAAAGAGGTCAGTGTTAAATGATCTACAATGTAGTCACAAAGAAAGAATGGGGAAAGTAGCATGACATACTAGAGCTAAATGTACAAGTTATGTACCATACACGTATAATCTCATAATATACACATTACATAAGCACAAATCTAGCATGCACAATTTCGTAGTTCATGCACATTCAGTCGTGCAATTGCTGAAGCATTTTCGCCCCCGCCAGCGAGAAACCTGCAGCGTAATCTACTCCTAAACTCACTTCCTCCCTCCCGTAGGAGTCTCTAAAATTACTTTTCATTATCGTCTACTCCAAATATTAAGTCCCACTCCTGTGGCAGTGGGGTTTTTGATAAAACTTCGTGATTAATGTCTGTGGGAGACTTCTGCTGATCAATCGGAAATAACTTGTGGTATTTGGGGCTCCCAAGTCTATCAAACGTACATCTACAAGTAGCAATTGGGATTCGCAATTACTTTTGCTTCCTGGGTCCCATATAGTGAGAAAGTCTGGCTCACAGTTGGAGGGTATTACAGGTTACAGATATGTCTGGGATTTGGTGGAATTGAAATACCTATATAGATTTGCCAGAAGATATAAACTCCACTTATATACTATGGAGGATTATCTGGACCAAAAACTCAAGAACTCTTAGTATACAAGTGTTGGAAGTTTCAATGAAGCAAAATAGATTAGACTAGACTAGGATTCATTCTGTTGAAAAGATGGTATGAATTGCTGGTTGAGAATTTAGATGAGGACACTTGTGCCCTAATCAGTGTCATTTGCCGAAAAATTTCAATGAAAAAATTTAGCCTTGCCTTTTACTTACGTGTAAAGCACAGAGAACTAGATTTGGGTGCTTGCAATTTTAAAATATGCTTGAATGCATATGTCAGGCCACATGGAGAGGGGAGGGGGTATAAGTCCTGAAGAAACAATCGTTGAGAAACAATCCTAAATATTTAAGAAACTCAGCCTTGGATGCTTACCTCCTGTACAGCACAAAGATGACCACCAGAACAAACACCAGGAGCACGAAAATCCCGGCAGCGGCGATGGCTGCTATCATCACAGGCTGGTCTCCTGTCATCGGGGCCTGGGAACCTGGGGGAGGGACAAGAGCAGGGAGATCAGTTAAAGTTACTTAAACCTATATTGTATAGCATGTGTATGTTCATAATATGTATTATCACTATCTTATGTTATGATGTATAGGACCACAGGAAGAATAGCTGATCCAAATAACATGTAAAATCATCTGTATTATTCCTGTTACATCAAATGACATCTATGGTCTATATGATATATTTGCAAACTCTACAAGTAGATGGAATTCCCTGCAAAGTTTACACCTTCGTTGCTTCTTATAATAATACATTAAACTGTATTCTGTATATTGTTAAATGTATTCAAAAAAGGCCCCCCTTATGTTTTACAATTGATAGTGAAGAGATACTTGTATATCTCTACCTCATCATCTCTACCTCACAACTGCTATTTATGCCTGCTAAGCTTTTGAGTTGCTTTTTCGATAACATAGGACATTAGGAGACACTGCAGCCAAAGACCAATGTTATGAATGTGGTAGGAAACTTCCTGTGACTCCTGCAGAATAATGACTGTCGTTATCCTCACTACCCCACTCCATTACAGTCTTCACCTTATGTTACTTTCCCCGCGTTTGAGAAGAAACCTTGCGGGACCTCTGACATGCTAGACGTCCCGGACTGACATGCGAGACGTCCCGAACCGGACGGATATATCCGGGCGATCAGTCACTGTCACTCGACAACGCTACATCCATCACGAAACATCAATGTTTAAACCAGTTTAGCAAGAGTTATGCAACACCCTTCTGTTATTATCATATCAGAAACGATTCGGATCCATCTCTATATCCTATATCATCGCGGGAATCAGATTTTAGTAGCATTTCCGGTAAATTCGTTTTGAGGAAACGTCAAGCGGCAAGGCAACATCCATCACAACGCATCAATGTTTACCAGTTTAAAGCCAAGTTATATAACACCCTACTGTCATTATCATAATAATTCATATCAGAGATGATTCGGATCCATTTCTATAACATCCCAGGCATCAGATGTCGGTAGAGTTTCCGGTAACTTGGTTTTGAGGAAACGTTGCAACGCCAGCCCGGTGTAAGCCAAGTCATCTGTCATGCTGTCTGCAGCCCGTGTGTAATAATGTCACCTCGACAGGCAGCCTTCAACGGCCTTAATCAATCCACCAAGGTGGCAGATTCATCATTTATATCTAACTCAGGCCACGTGAACACGATTCTGTGGATCACGTCCATGAGTACATTGAGTTTCTCATTTTGTACAGTAACTTTATTTCTCAGACTGAACTTCTCAGACTTTAAAACAGCCTTAATCAATCCACCAAGGTGGCAGTTTCATCATTTATATCTAACTCGGGCTACATCAACGCGATTCTGAAATTTCTCAGACTGAACTGAACTGCTTAGACTTTAAAAACCTGCTAACTTTAAAGTTAGTCTTGATCAATCTACTGAAAACACAGCTCCATCATTTACATCTAACTTCGCAAATCAATGCAATTCTGTGGATCACATCCATGTGTTCATTGAGTTTCTCTGACTTTGAACTTCTTCTAGTTAAGGCTACCTTTCGGTACCAGATTTGTATTGGTTATGGGGTTGGGCAGTAGGGATAAGGTAAAAGTGAAGTGAAGAAGTGTGACTTACCATTGGCATCAGTCCTCATGGTCACAGGTTGGCTGGGTAGGCCGTATCCCGCTATCGTTCGGGCTTGGATCTGTCAATGGAAAAACCCAAACCATTTACAACAAGAAAAACAAAGAAACAAACAACCTAAACCTATATGTTGGCAATGTTTTCGTGTCATATCATATGATGATTGTAAGTTGTTATGAACAAAACAGATATGGATTATTCATTTTTCTTTTTATCTTTCTTTCAGCCATTCTTTCATTTATCTCTCACCTGCACATGATGGTGGTTATGAACAAAACAGCTACGTCAGTCATTTTTTATTTCTTTCGTTCCTTCTTTTTCTTTTTCCTTTGTCTTTCTTGTATCATTCTTGTGCTTCTCTTTCTTTTTCTTTCGTTCAATCCATTTTTCTCACCTGCAGGAAGTATTCTTTCTTTCATTCTGTTCCTTTCCTTCCTTCCTTCCTTTCTTCTTTATTTTATTACATTTTCTTTCTTTCGTTCACTCCATTTTTCTCACCTGCAGGACGTACTCCTCCCCCATGTCTAGGTGTTCCACGGTTGCCTGGGTAACCAGCCCGTCGACCTTGGCAAACTTCACCTGCGTGGGACCGTCCCGTAACGGGTAGTACTGTACGCGGTACTCCAGGATCACGCCATTCGGCTTCCGCGGGGGGGACCAGGATATCGACAGCGACATCTCCGTCGATCCAATTTGCGTCACGCTCTCGACTTGGGACGGAGCTGCAGAATAAACGACAAGAAAGGAGAATATCTCTTTAATGAAAATGTCACAAGTCGTACAGTCAGACATTGTTCATTCATTCAGAAATGCCAGGTTTGGAATGATTCTTTTATTGGCTAAACGAACGTTCCGATATTTCAATTTCTCCAAGATTGGACCTGCCAACACACGGTTTTCAAGTGTCAAGAGAAAATGTCAGACTTCGTTTATCTAAAACTTCAGCAACTTAGACAGAAAGCCTGGTGAGAAATATACTGGGCATTTTCAGCACACTTCCTTTTTAAAAAAGTTGAAAATGCTTCTCGACACAGTCTGAAAAGTTTCTGAATCTTGGAGTTTCCAGTATTTCCAGTACATTAATCAATTCTGGGATTCAATTCTCACATGACTGAAGGTCATAGTAAATCTCCCAAGGTCATCTACCTACTCCCTGAGGGACTAAACCACCAAGCTCGGTCTTCCCCTTTTGACATAACCATTAAAGTTACCGCACACGCGGCTCCCTCTCCTAAACCTCTTTTATTACAGGAGATACGGGCACAGGTGGTATCTCACGCACAACAACTGTTGCCGCGCCTTTTCCAAGCCCGGCGAACCGTTTTCAATTTACTCAACAAGTCTACCCTGTAACGAAGAGGCTAGACTCGAAAGGGCAGGTTATTTACGACTCGAGACGGGTGGCATTTTGCCTCTGTTCTCAGCCAAAGATTACATATCGTATAACCAGTGATACTATCAGGTAAACCTGCAATGCATGTAGTTGTATATTACATGTATGTGATTGTAAACCCTGCATCAATTCAGCGCTATAAAAGGCTGCGATTGCACGGGTAATGTTTGACAAAGAAATTATCTATTTCATTATTATATTATTACTAATAGTTGTGGCTACAAGAACGATTTTGTTTACATTGTCATCATGCACAGATACATGTTAATGTATGACACTACCATTGAAGACAAAACATGGAATTATGTTGTCATATTAAACAGAAATGTAAAGCAAAATAAAGCAGCTGTCGTAATGTTATCAAGAGCAAGGATCAATTATTGGGCTTGTCTCGTGTGTTCTCTCTTACACTGAGCACAACACATAAGAATTATTTCTATTACAACTCAAAAATATTTATGGGACTACTACCTATACACAAACGTATTTTATTAATGCAATATAAGTTTTTTTTTCTTTGTAAAAACAGCCTAGTAGCCTTTCCTACAAAGATCACTGATACAGATGTTATCAGAGCCCTTTTGGCTGTTTCTATGCTATTTTACCATTGTACACCCCTCCTTTGAAGCTAGGGGTGTGAAATCAGCAAATGTGCCACAAAATCGGTGAAAGTAGGTTTTCTGTCTCTAGAAATAAATCAGTCCCTTGTTATGCAGAGCTAGTCCCTCCCCTCTTGAAGAAAACAAATTCATGAGTCGAAAAATGTGCTTTCAATTACAAAACAACTGTTATCATAACTCATAAACAGGATATGTTTTTGTTGCTTTTTTGTTTCTCTTTTGTTTTGTTGTGATACAGACACTAAAGATCCTGTTAGTATAAGCACACTGCACATATGTTTGATACAGATTGAGATGTCACAATGCCTGTCACACTAAATAGAGACATCACTAGGCAAAAATGAAGACATCACTATTCAGAAACCACTAGGCAACACTATTCAGGACAAATCGCGAAATTACAGGTTTCGCATTGAGTGAGTTGTCATTCGAACCTCAATAGTTTGACTGATTTGACTTTTAAACACTCCATTGTGTGCAAAGTGGTACTACAACATAGGGGGCATCGCTATACAAGGTGACTTATGGCAGACCGTTTCCATCACCATATGGCCGAATATGATGCCAGTTTTCCTGCTGTTACGACAATCCCTGACCCCATTCCTGCACTCCTCGGGCATTTCAAAACCCACTAAACAATCTCTGCAAAAAGAAGCCGATAAAACAAGATAAAACAGGAGGATCCATCGGCAGATGTTCGGCGGGTCCACTCTAGGATAGCCCGTGGCCAGTTAGGTTATTGATTGAGCGGTCTGTCTAATGGAAATGTCTTTGTCCTGGAGGTTAGAGGAAGGTGGCAAGCCTCCCCACAGTGGCAAAGCAGGGCTCGAAATTAAAGGTGGTCCAATGGCCAATGACCACTAAAATTTAGGCTGGGACAACTAAAAACACATTTTGCGACATTTTTGGGACAATGGAAAAATAATCAACATCAGAATGGCAGCCCTTCTTTTGTTTATCAGACACATGTCCCGGCTTTTGGCTCCAGAAAACACCCCTGAATTTCCTGTCTACGCAATTATAGTGCGCCTGGGAGTGAACAGAAGCAAAATAAAGTTGACTTCAAGTTGAAATCATACAATACTTCCCGAAAAAACAGATTGGGACAGTTCATCCTCACTTCGGGACAATCAAAATTTATTTTTGGGACAGTGCTGGGACAATAGGAAGAAAAGCTAATTTCGAGCCCTGTTATAGGAAGGTGGCAGGCCTCCCTACAGAGGCAAGGCTGTCAGGTTGAGAGAGGAGCGGGTGACAGATGCAGCTACTGAGCCTTATCTGGACCACAGGACAGTTCTATTCATCATACAGGGTTTACAACAGGCTGCTTTTCACTAATGGCACCGAGTAAAAGACTTAATCTTGTGATGGGTTGGTAGGTACTGTGGGGGACTGGGGAGAATGGACTGTGTGTGTTGAGGAATGGGGCAATAAGCGAGGCTGTTTCGCGCAGTTTGAGTCGAATCAAACGGCGAGAGTGAAATACCGTAGGGTCAGGTGTGCCGCCTCGCACAATCATTCTACTGAATGGGTCTACGGTACAATATAATGACTCGGAAATATCATTCTTACAAAGCTTTTGAACAATTTTGTACTGAAAATCACTGTTTTTCAATTGGGAAATATTCTTAGGAAACTATTCAAGACATTTTGTACTGAAAATCACTTTGATTAGGGAATATCATTCTTACAAAGCTTGTCAATGTATTTTATATTGAAAATCACAGTTTGACAATGAAATATTCTTGGAAAGCTTCTCAATATATTTACTACTGATACTACTAGTCTGGTAGTACTTTTTCTTGTATAGCAAATGTACAAAATACATATACTGACAATATATGCAATTTTTTTAACATTCCAATTAAGCGAGAAAAATTACACTTAAATTTTCTTCCAGCTGTTGGTTACAATAATCAGTGCCTACCATCTGGTTTGTGCATCTTGATCCTTATCACCTTTTTCCATTGTTCCAAACAATCAAAATCTCGGGTAAAAAAACTCTGACATAATCCCCTCAATTTTTCTTCTGCAATATTGAAAATGTCTTTCAAAAATGCAGACTGCAGATGGGTATTTCTACCACAGATAAAGCATGCCTCCAGCCTGACCCATACCTCACCCCTATGAAACCTAACCCCACCTGTCTCACGCCCCATTGGCTATTTTCATTCCACAAAAGCCGCTCCAGCAATGATGTCACCCTGCCAAAAAAAGCTTGCCATTCAGCTTTCCGAGAATATAATGGAGCGCCTGCTGACTTTATTAGCCACAAGCTGGCACCCTTTTCCGCGTTACGGAAAACGTGATTGTCTCCCACAATGGATAGTCTTTCAGGATGACGTTCACCACAGGAGTGCAGTGATCTCATCAAGGAACGCTGTTAATGAGGCAGAAATGCTTCAATCTAATTTCTGAGGCACTTCTTACGCCATTACAGTCCCTAATGAATGTTATAACGACGGGGTGCGGATTATGATGGGAAAAATGCTGACGGTATGGTCGGTAATCGCTTTCGATGAGAAAAAATTTGATCAGCGCGATCGGTCCTTGCTGTGGACATATCTTTTTACACCCTCTGACAATAATTGAAATGCCGCGCGTCGCTTGGTGGAGTATCAGGCATGTGGGGAGCAAAATTAACCCTCACTACCCCGAAGTCGGCATTCCTACGGCTTCAGCACTGTTTTGTCAACAAAAACGGCGACACCTCTGCCAAAAATCCTGTCCTGACTTCAGGGTGGCACAATTGGTTATCAGTCTAACTCATCTACCGGTATCTCTATTTCATTCATACATTGTAAAGTACATGCATTAATATGCTTGTTGGTATCACTTGTAAAATGCAATGTTCATCACCGAAGCCACCCTAGATATTCATAGACTTACAAACAAACAAAAAACAGGGGAAAAAAAAGAAAACACAATCGAATACAGAGCTGTCTGATTTGATTTGGGGTAATATTTAAGTTTTGCTTGCTTTTATATCACTTTCTACATGTAATAGCTTTGACATTACAACAAATCCCACATTTACATATCAGATTTTACACCTTCAACAGGTCATGACTACATTTTCAAACACCTTTGCAACAACCTTTGCAAGTAGATTAGATAAAAACCCAGTGTGTGATTCGCACCAAGTTTGATCTTCTCTTATCACTGATTCTCACAAAACTACACAGAACTACTGTACAATAATCAGATACCAGGGGGCAAAAAGCACACGTGTTATACCCACCAAGTTTTTTTTTCTTATCACTGATTCCAGCAAAACTACACAATACACTGTACTACTGCACAAAAATCAGATACCAGAGGGCAAAAAGCACATGTGTGAAAGAGGCAGACTCGTATCAGAGCTTGATAGCGAAGTTCTCGTGTGCCTTGGGGAGCAATCGCAGTCATTTGAGCGGCGGTGTTGTTAATACCGCCTATCTATGTGATGTTGGCTTAATGGCGGCATTATACCAACCCTTAATGACACTTGTAGCGTTAACGACTGGTATCGCACCAGTGTCTGCACATCAGGGGTAATGGCTGAGGCAATATCTCCGGTTATATACGGCCGAACGGTTTTATACGGCGGTGTCGTAATTTGGGACGGAGGTCAAGCCAACATCTGATGAGTTTTTCCTCCATCTTCATGCATTTATGAATATATGAGAATGTTATGAATACTGTATTCATATTAATGGCAAGTTTTAGC